TCACTGGAGAAGGGCCTAATGCTGGGAAAGATTGAGGGCAATAGAAGAAGGGGATGACAGAGAATGAGGCAGCTGGATGGAGTCACTGAAGCAGTAGGTGTGAGCTTAAATGGATTCCAGAAGATGGTACAGGAAGACCTGGAGGAATGTTGTCCATTGGGTCGTGATGGGTCGGACACGACTTCGCAATTAAGAACAACAACTTCTATTTCATACATCTGAAATTAAAGATCACTATAGCTAGTTTTGGATTGTATGTTCTAGGATTACTATATAAAAATAATATTTATTTCCTCCTTAAGATGACTTTGAACAAAGGCTTGATATATGATCTGATCTTTTAAAATATTTTATGTTGGTTCAAAAGTTGATGTTTTCCTATTTTTCTTTTCTACAAACTTCTATGGGACACATTTCATAGGAAATTTCATGCACATACCTACCTACCTACCTACCTGGTTTGCTTGGAATTAGTTGCTTGCTTGGAATTTTACTTGGAACTGCTTGCTTGGAATTTTACAACTGTGAGTGAAAAGAAGGGGGGAGGGCAAAATTAGCAAAGGCCCTACTGATTGGATACTTCATTGCATTTAACTCCCCAGAGTTTGCTGGAAACTGCTTGCTTGGAATTACTTGCTTGCTTGGAATTTTACTTGGAACTGCTTGCTTGGAATTTTACAACTGTGAGTGAAAAGAAGGGGGGAGGGCAAAATTAGCAAAGGCCCTACTGATTGGATACTTCATTGCATTTAACTCCCCAGAGTTTGCTGGAAACTGCTTGCTTGGAATTACTTGCTTGCTTGGAATTTTACTTGGAACTGCTTGCTTGGAATTTTACAACTGTGAGTGAAAAGAAGGGGGGAGGGCAAAATTAGCAAAGGCCCTACTGATTGGATACTTCATTGCATTTAACTCCCCAGAGTTTGCTGGAAACTGCTTGCTTGGAATTGCTTGCTTGGAATTTTACTTGGAACTGCTTGCTTGGAATTTTACAACTGTGAGTGAAAAGAAGGGGGGAGGGCAAAATTAGCAAAGGCCCTACTGATTGGATACTTCATTGCATTTAACTCCCCAGAGTTTGCTGGAAACTGCTTGCTTGGAATTACTTGCTTGCTTAGAATTTTACAACTGTGAGTGAAAAGAAGAGGGGAGGGAAAAATTAGTGGCCCACATGCCTAATGGCGCGCGAATCATATAACTAAAAATCATAAACAGCAGTGGTACATTCAGGGCAAGTGTGTCTGAGATTCTTTGTATCTAAGAATGCCTGGCTTAGTACAGCGCAACACTTGCTTTGCAGCTGTTTTTTGCAGTACCCTCTTCAAACCTGGAAACTGTCCTATCTGTAAACAAATCATTAGTCTACAAAGACAGATTATCTATCTAGGGTCTGTAATCTGTGCTCTTCAGGCAGAAATTAGGTGTCCAGTTCAGCCCTTCTACTCTATTGAGCCTCTGCGCTATCAGACCCTTCTACCACAAAGATCCTGCTGGAGAACGGCAGTGTGGACAACCGTGGGATCTGGCAGGGTGAGAGCTGTGAACCATAAACACAAAGCTTTCACTGTGTCCCTGTATAACAGATATAACGCCCTTGCTGACCTTAATAGGAAAATTAAGAAGACAGGTAAAGGTATTTGTGATGATAACTCAAATAAGCAGGGGATCATGGACCTAGATGAAGAATTTGTTTCCAGCAGGGAGAAGTGTGAATCAGGTAGTACATACCAGTCATCCAAAAAGAGAAGCCACCTTCTGGTTGGTGATTCAATTGTAAGGGATGTAAATTTAGGAACGGACACAGAGGTTTCAAAAGAGGTCAGATGTCTCCCAGGTGCTACTGCCAGTAGGGATAAGAAGCGTATTTCTAAAATAATTAAGAATACCAGCAAGGACTGGGATGTGGAGGCTATTGTACATCTTGGCACTAACTATCTGTCCCAAAAAGATGTATTCTCTGTGCAGAATGATTTCCGGAGCTTGGGGCAGGAACTTAGCAAAATAGGCTGTAGGCTAACTTTTTCAGAGGTTTTACCAGTGTATAAAGAGCAAAATGGAAAAGCCAACGTATAGCACAATTCAACATGTGGCTAAAGGAGTGGTGTAAAGGGGAAGGGTTTGGATATATTAGTCATGATGTCAATACTTGGACCCATGAAAAATTGTACAAAAGAGATGGTTTGTATCCATCAAAGAAAGGGACTGAATTACTCAGCTATAAATTCACAGATTTTCAGGAGGAATATTTAAACTAAACAGCGGGACAGTGAGTTAATTGATACAGAACATCCCTGCCCCCGGCAATCTAAAAACAATAGGGATCTGTCCCAAAAAGTTCATGTAACATAGATATGTGTGTGGACAAAAATACCAACTATACTGTCAAGCAAAATCAAGCTTTTAATAACGAGTGCCACACAAAGTGCACTAACCAAATAAGTGGTAAGATAATAGGGGAACTCAGGCACCACTCAGGTTATGTAGAAAGTAAACACAGGGTCGGTCATAAAGGACTCAAATGTCTATACACCAATGCACAGCGTATGAACAGCAAACAAGGTGAACTAGAAATTCAGGTTAATGAGGGCAGATATGATATTGTTGCCATTACAGAAACATGGTGGGATGAAACCCACAAATGGAACACACAGCTAGAGGGAGTTAAATTATTTCAAAGAAACAGATCAAATAAAAGAGGAGGTGGAATTGCTCTCTATATAAGAAATAACTACATCTCCACAGAAATAGAGCACAACAATGACGAAAACTGTCTTGAATGCATTTGGGTCAATATAAAAGGGAGAAAAAATGACATTGCCATAGGTGTATACTATTGGCCACCCAACCAAACAGAGATAATAGATGAACTTTTTGCTAGTCAGCTAACTAAGGTATGTAGGAAGCACATCACCATAGTAATGGGGGACTTTAATTGCCCTGACATCAACTGGGAGACAAACTCTGCACCAAGTGGAAGATCAAACAGATTTCTGACAAACCTAGCAGACAACTTTGTCTCTCAAAAAGTAGAGAAGGGAACTAGGGGATTAGCCATTTTGGATCTAATTCTCACTAACAGAGATGAAATGATAGAAGGTGTTGAAGCCACAGGAACCTTGGGAGGTAGTAATCATGCAATATTGATATTCAACATTATGGAAACACAAGCAATAGAACATAGTCAAACTAGAGTCTTGGACTTCAAGAGAGTTAATTTCAATAAACTTAGAGAGGGCTTGTGAAGGATTCCATGGATGAGAATCCTCCAGGGGAAAACAACACAAGAAGCTTGGAAAATTTTGAAAAGCAAGATAATAGAAGCCCAGTCTAGCACAATACCAACAAAGAGGAAAAATAACAGCTCTCAAAAGAAACCAGCATGGCTGCATAAAGAAGTCTCTGACAAATTGAAAGATAAAAGGACAAGTATAGAAAGTGGAGAGAGGGGCACATAACTAAATCAGAATATCAACAAATAGCTCGAGCCTGCAAAGATGAAGTGAGGAAAGCGAAGGCTCAAAATGAACTTGGAACCAAAGTCAAAAATAACAAAAAAGCTTCTTTCAACATGTAAAAAGCAAGAAAAAAGTGAAGGAAACAATTGGTCCATTAGTGGGTGAAAGTGGTAAAAAGGTGACTAGCAATAGGAAGAAACTATTTAACTCGTTTTTTGCCTCTGTCTTTACACAAAGGGAAAAAGCAGACCAACCTATCAAAAATAGTGCCATAAAAAACAGTATAGAAACACAAGTTAAGATGGGCAAGAAAATGATAAGTGAGCACCTGTCCAGCCTAGACGAGTTCAAATCACCAGGACCAGATGGATTACACCTCAAGGTTCTCAAGGAACTGGCAGATGTGATCTCAGAACCACTGAACTATATTTTTCAAAGATCTTGGAGCACTGGAACTACCAGAGGACTGGAAAAGAGCTGATGTAATTCCCATCTTCAAAAAAGGGGAAAAAAATGGATCCAGGAAATTACAGACCTATCAGCCTGACCTCAATACCTGGGAAGATCCTGGAAAAGATAATCAAACAACGAATCAGCAAACACCTAGAGGCAAACAAAGTCATTATTAAAAGCCAACATGGGTTTGTCAAAAACAGATCATGCCAGACAAATCTTATTGCATTCTTTGACCAAGTGACAAAATTAGTGGATCAGAGGAATGTGAATTAGTGGATCAGTGGATATAATTTACTTGGACTTCAGTAAGGCATTTGATAAAGTAGATCACAATCTATTACTCAATAAGATAGAAACATGTGGGTTAGACAGCATCACCACCAGATGGATTCGTATCTGGCTCACCGGCCGTACTAAGCATGTGGTCCTCAATGGAACTGCATCTATATGGAGGGAAGTGTGTAGCAGGGTGCCCCAGGGCTCTGTTCTAGGCCCAGTGCTCTTCAACATCTTCATCAATGATTTGGACGAGGGGATAAATAGGGAACTCATCAAATTTGCAGATGACACCAAGCTGGCAGGAATAGCCAACACTCCAGAAGACAGGCTTAAGATACAGAAGGATCTGGACAGACTTGAACACTGGACACTATCTAACAAAATGAAATTCAATGGTGAATGGTATTATTATTATTATTATTATTATTATTATTATTATTATTATTATTATTATTATTATTATTATTATTATCTACTTACCTACCTACCTACATACATACATACGTACATACATACATAAAAACTCTTTACTGAGTATTCACTGATAACAGGTGATCAGTTACAGGATAAGAAAAAAGATCCTCAAGATTATTTAGTTCCAACTTTCTTATCACTGAAACAAAGTTTAGATCTAGTAAAAACAAAATAAAATAAAATGAGGATCTATTTCCAATTAGCTACAATGAACTCCAGGGAATGGAATAAGTCTCTGATAACACAAAGGAGACTTGATGAAATTTGCTTCATACATAGGAAATCCTTTAAATTCCTCATTGATTAGAAAAGCAATATATAATTGCATGCTAGCTTTCAAAGAAAGACTACTAATGCTTAGTGAACAAAATGGTTAATTTCTTCATGAAACACTGAAATTAAAAATAGTGCTGAATGGAATTTATTGGGATGTAAGTAAATTTCTTCACTGTTTACTACCTTCTTTTCATCTTTCTTCCTCCCATGATCTTTTTTTAATAATATTTTATTAGTTTTTTAATTTTACAATTAAACATTTAAAAGCAACATGGAGACTGGGTTAATCAATAATTCAATAACATACATAAATCTTTAGTACAGAAAGAAATTAAAGAAATAATAGAAAAAAATGAATAAAAAGTTAACTGAATTAATAAAAATCACCTAAACATTTCATTGAATTATCTTACAATAATGTATGAACATGTGCTTAAATTTTTGAAAATATTATGAAATCTGTGTCAAATGGAAAAAAATTGTCATTTCTAATTGAAGACAAAATAAAAAAAATAAAAATATAGAACTTTATGCATTCAGATCAGTCCTAGCTCTGTTTAATTGCCTTTTCAAAAATGGATAAATTATATTTTTCTTGAATCCATTTTGATGTCTAGAAAAATAGCACTATTTTTAAAGAGTATTGATTATATTGACCATGGGGGAGGGAACAAGATGATTATAGAAATATTTGTAATATATGGGAACAGTAAAAAAAACCAATGCCAATAGGACAGTACAAGTTAAATCAATTAAGAATTTTTATCCTTTACATTATTAGCCTTTTAAAATATATGTAAGCTGTGAGGAAGACAAGACAGATTTACAGTTCTTTACTTTAGCACTAATTGTAATAATCACAGTACAAAGCAAATATAACTTCTTGTGAGTATTGGTATTTGCTAAGTGTTTACACAATAGAACTCCTTCATTTCATAATAAAAATATCTATTGGATAATGATATTTACCAAAATAGTTTGACATCTGTTTCAGCTCTGATTGTGCTTGCTTTTTAACCCAGAACAACATTTCGGACATATTAAGCTATTTAGAAAAAAATATAACATCTTTTATAGATAGGATTCCTAAAGTTATCAAACTTTAGTAGCCAAAGAAGACTTGATAAAACCTTTTCAAATCAATATGAATAATGAAAGATATGTGTAATGTCAACTTTTAAAAGATGAATAAAAGTGTTGCAAGAATTAGCAGAATATGAAAACCTAATCATATAAAATCAGGTAACAATTGTATGAAGGAGGAAAATAAGCAAATTCTTGATTTTTCCTGTCCATAATCTTAATTCCCATATTCTGAATCTATCTATCTATCTATCTATCTATCTATCTATCTATCTATCTATCTATCTATCTATCTATCTATCTATCTATCTATCTTTCATATCAAATGGAAATGTATAGGAAATATATTAACAATACTAACCTTTTACCTTTAGGTTCTCATATCTATGACCAGAAATGGATAATGATACTACAGTGTTTTTTCTCTTGGAATTTTCAAATACACGGGAACTACAGCTTCTGTATGCAATGATACTTTTGTTCATATATTTAATTACATTAGCAGAAAACTTTCTAATTATTTCTGCAGTTATTTTGGACTCCCATCTTCACATCCCCATGTACTTCTTCCTGACAAATTTAGCCTTTCAGGGCATTGGATCTGTCTCAGTCATTGTCCCCAAAGCTGTTTTCAATTCATTTATGAACATAAATAATATTTCTTATCCTGAATGTATAATACAAGTGTTTTTGTTTGTATTTTTTGTAGACTCTGATATTTCTCTTCTTACTATCATGGCATATGATCGGTATGTTGCCATTTGCAATCCTTTACAATATGAGATGATAATGAATAGGAAGGTTTGTACCAAAATAGTTTGTAGTGTGTGGATTGTCAGCTTTCTCAATGCTGTATTAAACACAATGGGAACTTTCATTACTCCTTTTTGCTCTAATATTATCAATCAATTTTACTGTGAAATCCCACCTTTACTTAAACTTGCCTGCTCAGATTTATATGTAATTGAAACTGGAATTGTAATATTTATTTTTACAATAACATTTGGTTGTTTTGCCTTTATCATTTTTACTTATATACAGATCTTTACTGCTGTTTCAAAAATCCCTTCTGCTCAAGGAAGGAAAAAGGCCTTCTCCACTTGCTTCCCTCATCTTACAGTTTTTTCTTTATTTTTATTTACAGCCTCACTTGCTTACCTGAAGCCTCAGTCTGACAAACCATCAAACTTTGATATCATTGTTACAATAATGTACTGCATTATTCCACCTCTGTTGAATCCAGTAATCTATAGCATGAGAAACAAGGATATTAAGGTTGCTCTATCAAGAATTCTTGGTGAAAAGACGCTTAAGGTGTAATTACAAATACTGAATATTAATTTTATGGTTAATATGAATTCCTACCCTCTTTTTCACACACGTTTTCACATATTTTTCACACTTTTCATATATTTTTCACACTTTTTTGTTTTATATTAAAAAGCTTATTTTAGATATTTTGATTCCCAGACCTAAATATTTAGTTTCCAAGCAAGTTTCATTTCTTGTGTTTAAATTGGAAAACATAATATATAGAAACTTTGATTTTATTTGTTTTGTAGGATTTGAAGAATGTTTCTCCAACAATGCTGATACAATAATTTCTTTGATAGATGATTATTCCTCCAACGATGGCCTACAATAGTTAACATGACAAATATAGAGTAAAGGAACATAATTTGCATAAGACATCTCCTATCTTTGCACATTATATATTGGTAAAGTTAGTCCATTGCTTTTTTTCAAGACAGATTGTCATATATACTGTAAGTTAAACTAAAGGGATAGAATTGAATGTAATCTGATATTGTTTGTTAACTAAGGAAACTGGTTCTAAATGTATTTTGGTTATTTATTTGGTTTAGATGATCTCATTTTACAAGTCATTATAAGATAATATAATTTTATTTACTAATTAAAAGAGTTGGAACAAAAGTATTTATTTATTTAATTATAAACTTATATAAATAATACTTTGTGTAAAGTATGTTTGATTCTTAAGTAGAGACCATGTGTATACTTTTGGGTAGGTAGAGAGCATAGGGAATGGCCTGGAAGAACAGGTTGAAGAGTCACCAACAAGGGAACTGTCAGAGAAGTGGGACTTAAGCCAAGATCAGGAAAACATCTCATACAAGATCCTCCCTAGTTTACCTAAAGATAAAGTGAGTGAGGGGAAATGAATTGAAACATACAAGACTTTGTTACTATAGCTGTTACCATAAAAGTTTCAGTATTTATAGTTATAAAGCAGGGGAGAGAGTTATTAATACAAATAACCCAATAAATGGATTTCCAGAAAAAGAAATAATAAAGGAGAGTATTTGTAGTTCAGGGGTGAAATAAGAGATCCTTATTTTCTGAGCTTGGTTGTTTTCTTGGAGATGTTCAGTTACCCAGACTAGGTAACATCATCAGTGCTAATATATAGCACTGATAGTGCTCTTTGAATCTCTTCAGACAAGGAAAAGAGATGACCCATAAGCTGTTCTTCATGAACAGACTGCAAGGTAATGGTTCCAGCAGATTTAGAGCCTAGGGACACAAGGAAATATCCATCTTGCTCAAATCATAGTCAGTATGTTTGAAAGGACACTAAGTTTGCAAGCTTCCTTTTCTAATCACTTTCAAGGATTATTTATTAACTTCTTTCAGCCATTAGACTGACAATTTTGACAGCACAGGGTAAGTTTCCCTTGAATACTTTCAACTTTAAGTTTAAGAGATTAAAAAAGACTTTGATTTTAGAAATTTACAAATAGACTAAGGATACAGATAAACTTGAAGTAAGATTTTTGAATTAATTATAAAGAATCCTTTTCACAGAAAAATGCTTTTGTTTTATTTTTAAAATAATAAGAATAGTGTCCCCTTTATGGATTACTGCCTTGTCGTGGCAAAGGGGCTTGTGTAACTCAATGAAGCTATAAGCTATGCCGTGCAGGGCCACCCAAGACAGACAGGTCATAGCAGAGAGTTCTGACAAAATGTGATCCACTGGAGAAGGAAATGGCAAATCACTCCAAGTATCTTTGCCATGAAAACCCCATGGACAGTACTAAAAGGCAAAAAGATATGACGCTGGAAGATGAGCCCCTCAGGTCGGAAGGTGTCCAATATGCTACTGGGGAAGAGCAGAGGGCTAGTACTAGTAGCGCCAGAAATAATGAAGCAACTGGGCCAAAGCTGAAATGATGCTCAGCTGTGGATATATCTGGTGGTGAAAGGAAAGTCCGATGCTGTAAATATTTTTTCTCCATAGAAACCTGGAATGTAAAATCCATGAATCAAGGCAAGCTAGACGTAGTCAAAAAAGAGATGACAAGACCGAACATCAACATCTTAGGAATCAGTGGACTAAAATGGACAGGAATGGGTGAATTTAACTCAGATGACCATCAGGTATACTACTGTGGGCAAGAATCCCTCAGAAGAAATGGAGTAGCCCTCAGAAGAAATGGAGTAGGAAAAGCAATACTGGAATAATAATAATAATAATAATAATAATAATAATAATAATAATAATAATAATAATAATAATAATAATAATGAAAAATCCAGCAAAAGGGGCAACACCAGGTAACTACAGGCCAATTACCTGCTTACCAACAACTTTCAAATTACTAACTGGTGTAGTAGCTGATGCAGTGCAACAGCATCTAGTTGAAAACAATCTCTTTCCACCTGAGCAGAAAGGAAACCGCCCCAATAGCAGAGGAACAAAAGATCAACTCCTAATAGACAAAATGATCTTGGAAAACTGCAAGAGAAGGAAGACCAACCTGAATGTGGCATGGATTGACTACAAAAAGGCATTTGACTCTCTGCCACATGATTGGATAATAAAGTGCCTAGAAATAACAGGAGTCAGTAGAAACATCAGAAAATTTGTGCAAAGATCGATGGCACAATGGAAGACACAGTTGCAGATCAATGGTGAGAGGCTGGGAGAGGTTAATATCAAGAGAGGAATATTTCAAGGAGATTCATTATCACCATTACTATTTGTTATTGCACTGTTTCCTCTGTCAACAATACTGAATAACTCAGGACATGGCTATCAAACATCAAAAACATCTGCCAGACTATCCCACCTCCTTTATATGGATGATCTGAAGCTGTATGGAAAAACATCATCTGAAATAGAATCGCTGCTCAACACTGTCCGTATATATAGCCAAGATATTGTAATGGAGTTTGGCTTGGACAAATGTGCCACACTTACTATCAAACAAGGAAAAATAGTGAAAACTGAAGGAATCAAGATGCCCCACGAAAATAACATTAAGAGTCTGGATGAGGAAGAGTACTACAAATACTTGGGTATCCTTCAAGCTGACAACATCAAGCACACTGAAGTCAAGAAAAAGATTAGAGGTGAATACATCAAGAGAGTGAAGAAGATCTTAAAGTCCAAACTCAATGGAGGAAATACCATAAAGGCAATCAACACCTGGGCAATCCCAGTCATTAGGTACACAGCTGGAATAGTGGACTGGACTCAAGCAGAACTAAAAGCAATGGATAGGCAGACCAGAAAAATAATGACAATGAATCATGCCCTTCATCCACGCAGTGACATTGATAGACTTTATCTACCAAGGCAAATAGGTGGGCGTGGAATGCTACAAGTACATCAGATGGTTGAAGAAGAAAAAATGGCTTTGGAAGAATATCTGAAGAACAATGATGAAGATGCACTGAAATTAGTATATCAGGAAGGCTTACTGACTACTGGAGAGACCAAACTGGCCTACAAGAAAGACCAAATGAAGAACAGAATAGAGGCATGGGAAGACAAAGCACTACATGGCCAATACATAAAAAAAATAGCTGGGAAAGCAGATAATAATAAAACCTGGCAATGGCTAAGAGCAGGAAAATTGAAGAAAGAGACCGAGGGACTAATTCTGGCTGCACAAGACCAAGCCTTAAGGACAAATGCATACAAAGTCAAAATTGAGAAGACAGCAACAGACAGTAAGTGCCGCCTATGCAAAGAAGCTGAAGAAACAGTGGACCACTTGGTAAGCTGTTGCAAGAAGATTGCACAAACTGATTACAAGCAGCGGCATGACAAAGTAGCAACAATGGTGCATTGGAAGATCTGCAAAAAATATCATTTGCCTGTAAGCAAAAACTGGTGGGATCATAAAATAGAGAAAGTCATAGAAAATGATAAAATTAAACTGCTCTGGGACTTCAGAATTCAAACAGACAAGCACCTGCAACATAACACCCCAGACTTAACAATTGTCGATAAGAAAGACAAAAAAGTCTGGATAGTGGATGTGGCAGTGCCTGGAGATAGCAGAATAGAAGAGAAAGAACTGGAGAAGATAACAAAATACAAAGACCTACAAATAGAAATAGAAAGACTGTGGCAAAAGCAAGCAAGGGTAGTACCAATAGTCATAGGCTCCTTGGGTGCAATCCCAAAACAACTGGAGCACCACTTGAACACCATTGGCATTGACAAATTCGCTATTAGTCAATTGCAAAAGGCGGCCTTATTAGGAACTGCTTCCATCCTGCGACGATATCTGTAATACCATCAAACATCCACATCTGCCTATCCCAGGTCCTGGGTAAGGACTCGATAGGTAGACAAAATGCCAAATCCAGTCTGAACATCTGGCTGACTGTGCGATGATCGATAATAATAATAGTAAAGTTGGAAGGGACCTTGGAGGTCATCTAGTCCAACCCCCTGCTCGGGCAGGAAACCCTACACCATTTCGGACAAATGGCTGTCCAGTCTCTTCTTAAAAACTTCCAGTGTTGGAGCATTTACTGCTTCTGGAGGCAAGCTGTTCCACTGATTAATTGTTCTAACTGTCAGGAAGTTTCTCCTTAGTTCTAGGTTGCTTCTCTCCTTGATTAGTTTCCACCCGTTGCTTCTTGTCCTGCCTTCAGGTGCTTTGGAAAATAGCTTAATTCCCTCTTCTTTATGGCAGCCCCTGAGATATTGGAATACTGCTATCATGTCCCCCCTTGTCCTTCTCTTCGTTAAACTAGACATACCCAATTCTAGCAACCGTTCCTTATATGTTTTAGCCTCCAGTCCCCTAATCATCTTTGTTGCTCTTCTCTGTACTCTTTCTAGAGTCTCAACATCTTTTTTACATCGTGGTGACCAAAACTGGATGCAGTATTCCAAGTGTGGCCTTACCAAGGCATTGAAGAGTGGTATTAATACTTCACGTGATCTTGATTCTATCCCTCTGTTAATGCAGCCTAGCACTGTGTTGGCCTTTTTGGCAGCTGCAGCACACTGCTGGCTCATATTTAAGTGATTGTCTACTAGGACTCCGAGGTCCCTCTCACAGTTACTACTATTGAGCATGGTGCCACCTATGCTGTACTTGTGCATTTGGTTTTTCTTGCCTAAATGTAGAACCTTGCTTTTTTCACCATTGAATTTCATTTTGTTAGTTAGTGCCCAGTGTTCAAGTCTGTCCAGATCCTTCTGTATCTTAAGCCTGTCTTCTGGAGTGTTGGCTATTCCTGCCAGCTTGGTGTCGTCTGCAAATTTGATGAGTTCCCCATCTATCCCTTCATCCAAGTCATTGATGAAGATGTTGAAGAGTACTGGGCCCAGAACAATCCCCAAAATGACAGAATGATCTCAATTCGAATCCAAGGAAAACCATTCAATATCACAATAGTCCAAATCTATGCCCCAACCATTGGTGCTGAAGAGGATGAAATTGACCGGTTCTATGAAGCCCTACAGCACCTTATACAATTAACACCAAAAAATAATGTCCTTATCATCATGGGGGATTGGAACACTAAGGTAGGAAGCCAAAAGATAACCGGAATAACAGGCAAGTTTGGCCTTGGAGTACAAAATGAAGCAGGGCACAGGCTGATAGAATTTTGTCAAGAGAATACAATGGTCATAACAAACACTCTTTTC